GTTCAATAGCTGCTCTGTGTTGGAGCCATCGTCGTCACTTCACGACGTTGAGGAATCCGAGATGGTCGACAGCGACAGCTTACAATTCAGTGGTCGTGTATAAGCAGGAGACGATCTAGAACTTGTCATAATCTCATCTATCACTCGGGCCCTTTTCTACTAATGCGAAAGAGTGAATTCGGGTAAAAAAACTCTTAGCACTAGTTTTTTTGGGCATTGTGCCTCACCTCTCCGAGTTCTTCAAAATTAACTCTAAAGCGGAATATGCAAAAAGTTTCCAGGTGAAATATGTTGAAACTCTGAGTGAAATGAATCAATGAGTCTCATGTATGCTGATGCCTTTAAAAAGTAGCTAGGAATGATATATCGAATTTCCTTTCTCGAAATTCCCTGATATGACATGTGTGTAGTCGCTGCTACACTGGTAGCATCAACGGCTATTTCCATTTTATTCGAGATCTTTATTCTGATGCTTGCCAACAGGTGTAACTCAGCTCTGCCTTCACGTCAATCATGTCGCCTCAAGAAAGCATGGTTCGTCTTCATTTCTCTTACACTCGGCGAAGTTTCTTTTTGTGTTGAAAGGTATGGAGTATTTCGGAGATAATTTGCTATCAATGCAATTTGTTCTATGAAAAAAAGACGAAATGAATTTAAACCTATTCAAAAAATTAAACGTAGTCGGCTAGGAAAAATCTCGGCCTCAATGGTAGCTCTTGAAAGTTCCTCAGTACAAGAACAACACACTCCTGTGCAAAAGTCTTTTTTCAAATTAAGCTATCCAGTGAAGAAAAAGTGACTATGTGGGAATCAGATTGGCAAAATTATTTTCTTCTATAAGTCCTATGATTTGAGGAACTCACGTTATCATACACGGTAAAACATTTTCAATGCAAAAATGAATCATATTGTTGTCAAGACCCTCCTCCTTGTTCTAAAATTTTTTCCCTCTGTGCCATGGTCGACATTATTTCCAGGGGTCGTCCACTGGAACCTAGTACTTATCAGAATCGATTTATTCTACTTGAATAATGAATAAGTTGTGTCTGGATAAATCAAGTACCACTGCCAGTTTTATGGGAAAAAGGTTGTTTTTTCTTTCATGAATATTCGTGACGGCAAATATTACCAATGAAGGAAAAAATTCTGCTACTGATTGTCACTAGAGAGGTTCAGTGAAAGTCACAATTGAATCCTACTAGTTTTGTTGTGATTTGAAATGACTGTTATGGTCTGATCACCGCAGCGGAGGACAGTATGAGCTCGAATTTCCTAGTTTAGCCACGTATCTACCTAGATATTTACACAATTCAATTCCACACATGTCATGAGCACCCAGCTTTCAGTGCTTCATCCCACTGACCGTAGCACACGGAAATGGTCAAATTTGGGAAAAGATTCGGAGCCGACTAAAAAACCTGCTGCCCGCTGTCTTTTCGACAAGTTGAAGTCCAATGGAGAATGGAATCTCATGGGATTCCCAAATTACCGTTTTAATGCGTACTTCACATGCTGTTATAGATCGGAATAAAATATACTGCTGTACATTTCTTCTAGGGTGGTAGTGAATCATTCGCAAGATTTTCTGGGAATAGACGTCGAACCTATCGAGAGTGATCTACCATACTGACATCTAGATTTACACAAACAAAACAAAATTTTTTAAATAAATGAATAAAACTCGTATATAATGCTGAGATATTTGCAAAACTCCGGACCGCAGGTGTATGCGGTGGGGAACGAACGCGCGCTATTGTCCTTTCCGAGGAGTAGTGCACTTCACCACCACATCACCCGGGTCTTTCGTTTTGCCTGTCTTTCAGCTAGTTCTATTGATTTTTTGCCATCAGCAATCACCCGTCAACGGGATTGATCTGGGGAGCCCAAATCGGCATTGAACCCAGTTAAGCTGAGGCTTAGTTATAATCACAATCTTAACCCTTTTATTTACTGCCTTTTTCTTTTTTAATGGCAGGGTTTGCTGCGAAATATAACTCGTATATAATATCACAGCATTACATATATAATATCATTACGTATATAATATCACAGCATTACATATGAGTTATATTTCGCAACATACCCTACCATTAAAAAAGAAAAAGGCAGTAAATAAAAGGGTTAAGATTGTGATTATAACTAAGCCGCAGCTTAACTGAGTTCAATGCCGATTTGGGCTCCCCAGATCAATCCCGTTGACGGGTGATTGCTGAGATGGCAAAAGATCAATAGAACTAGCTGAGAGACAGGCAAAACAGAGGACCCGGATAGTGTGGTGGTGAAGTGCGCCACTCCCCGGTAAGGACAATAGAGCGCGTTCGTTCCCCACCGCATACACCTGCGGTCCGGAGTTTTGCAAATATCTCAGCATTATATACGAGTTATATTCCGCAACATACCCTGCCATTAAAAAAGAAAAAAGCAGTAAATGAAAGGGTTAAGATAAATGAATAAATAAATAAATCGGTAGCTATATGAATAAATAAACGAAGAGAGAAAGAGAAAGATGGAAAGAGAATTAACTGGTTAAGCGTCTTCATTCTTTCGATGGAGGTTCCTACAATCACATCAATCCGTTAAATTAAAAGGTTGTGGCTCTGAGTAAGGCGAAAGAGTTCAAAATCTGGCCGAAACAAGAATTTTGTAACAATGTCGTACTAGCTTATCAGGGCAACACAATGTTGGTTAATCATGTAAAGCTTAAATGAAACTCGGCCTTCAAAAAATATATACTCAACAGATTTCCTAAGCTGAGGATTCCCAGGTGGGCAGTCGCAGGGATACGTTACACATGCTCCGGTTAAGGATAGGGGACGAAATGTGGACAAAAAGCGTTTTTGAGCTTTTCCGAGAAATAAATGGATCTAAGAGATGGACATCGTGTTCTCGAAAGACTAACTTCACCGACACCTCCTTTGTATAAGTATAGTTGCTCCAACAAAATCCTCAATGTACTCTTGAAAGGTTGCCGAGCTACCCACAACTATACCTAGCCCCAAGTTGGAAAATCGACAAGCCATGCATAGCTATCAAAAGCCAGATGTAGTAAAATACATGGGCCCGTTATCCTGTCTTCCAAAGTGCCCTGATACGACAGCGTTGAATGGGACGAGTTCGGACAGGTTGTCAATAAACCCCAGAGCCATTCTGGACTATCTACATTGCAAAGCCCCGGGATGACCATCTGTAGCTCAAATGCACGCACACTTGCATCTGAGTCCTCAATAAAATCCTTGATTCCTGTATTACAAAGAACTATGGTAATGATCTGTACCTACAATGCACGTACACTTGGATAGAAGACTTGCTTTTGCAGGCAAGAAAGATAAAGTACTACGTCATCGGCTTGGCCGAGAAAAGAAGACGCCAGCCTTTCAACGCCGCCTATGACACCGGAGAACAATCGTTCCTCGGAACATGCTACAGTAGAGAAGTCGGCGGCGTCGGCGTTCTCGTCAACACGAGTTTGTCCATGAACATCGATTCATTCGAACAACTTAAAATCCGAATAGGACGTCTAAGATTAAAAAACGTGGATCAATTCCGGCTTTGACAATCTTCGTCGTTTACGCGCCGACATCAAACTATGACGAAGGAGAAGTCGAAGCGTTCTACATGGACTTGGAAAAGTTTTACAGAGAAGACCATACATTCTTCAAGGTCATCGTTGGAGATTTGAACACCAAGATTGCACCAAGAAGAACGTCTGAAGGACGTCACATTAGAACCCAAGGATTAGAATGGAACGAACAGGGTGAGCAGCTATCTGAGTTAATCATGCTGACCAAGACCATCCATGGTAATTCGAAATTCCAGAAGCCCCACCCTCAACGCTGGACGAGTCTTCCAATGGAGAATACCATAACGAAGTAGACCACATCATAGTAAATAGAAGGTTTTGCCTAACCGATATCGCTGTTGTCCCAAAATTCTACACGGGATCAGCCCATCGCCTCTTTCGTGCAAGATTCTATTTCTCGCGCAAGGGAGAAAGGGTCGCTGAATTCCAAAACCGAAGTCCCAGAACCACCGTAAACTGGGACCTATTTAAATCACTAGTCGGCTGTTGAGACGATGCCGTTGTCGTTAACATCGCCGAGAAATACGATCGGCTCATTCAGCATCTTCACGTTAGCGCTATGAAAGCTGAGAGTTCGAAAGTCACCAAGAGAGGTTGTCTCCAGAGACACTCGAGCTGATACGCCAGCGTGGAATCGCACGAGCTGCAGGCAACCGCTAACTAACCTCTGAACTAAGACCATAGTAACTCGCAGTTCCAAAACCTCCACCCTCAACGCTGGACGTGAGAGTCTCCCAATGGAGAGTACCATAACGAAATAGACCACATCATAGTAAATAGGTTTTGCCTAATTGATTTCGCTGTTGTCCCAAAATTCTACACGGCATCAGACCACCGTCTCCTTCTCGCAAGAATCTATTTCTCGCGGAAAGGAGAAAAATGCACCAAATTCAATTCAAAAACCGAAGTCGGAGAACCACCGTAGACAAGGACTTATTCAATTCATTAGCCGGCTGTCAGAAAGATGCCGTTGTCGATAACATCGACGAAGAATGCGATCTGCTCATTCAATATCTTCACGTTAGCGCTATGGAAGCTGGGAGTTCGAAAGTCACCAAGGGAGGTTGTCTCCAGGAACACTCAAGTTCATACGCCAGCGTAGAACCGCACGACCTGCAGGTAACCGCTAACTAACCTCTAAATTTGCAAAACAATGCAGACAGTCGACAAAAGATTTTAAAAAGAGAAGAGTAGCAGCAATGTTCGAAGCTGCAGAGGCTGGGAAAAGTACTTGCAATGCCCACCGAACTTTCGCCAATTATAAGACCAAGATGATTGCACTGCTATACCCAGAGATCGGTTAGAGCGTCCAGAAAGGCAATAGAGAAAATCATTCACGAATAGATAAGGTGGGCCGAACACGTAATGCGTATGAATGACAACCAATGGACGAGAGCCGTTAGTGACTGGATTCCTCAGGATGTCAAACGTATTGCAGGAAGGCCACCGACCTGATGGTCAGAGTTCTTCACAAAGAGCGTTGAAGAAAGATATGATGCTCGACGAGTCCCTAGAGCGATCAGAACCCACTGGACTACTCTTTTACGCGACGGGGAAAGGTGGAAGATTTACTGGCGCACGCTCGAGTCACTCGACGATCAACGGGTCAATAGGTGATGTAGGTGATAAGCTATTGTAAAGGGGCGCGTGTAGAGCAGCGGTGAAAGGCGTCCTGCACAACATACGGGGTCAATCCTCGGGCACTAAACTCATCAAGCCTTTTATCTTTCCGGCGTGGGCAAATTGGCATCAGACTCGTCTGGGAGAATAGCAACACCGACTCGATAGATCACTAGACCACCACGAGTCTTTGCAAAGGCCAGATTTGAATTGAGTCACCTCCAACAATTAGTGGAGATGAATGCATGGCGCACCTTCAGAGATTGATCAACGCCAAGAGCTTTGCCCTCATTTATCCTTATTATAGGTGATTGTATCACTTTCAAATAAAACTTTTCTAAGCTATTCAGTCGCTATCTGGAGAACTTCCATGTTAACAAAGTTTCTTGTATGCCGTCGTGTCTAATGTATTACGCTGTGTGCCCCGTGTCATCGCTTGAAGCAGCTCAATCAGTTTTCACTATTCAAAAAAACTTTTTAGAGCTTTCCTTTGACTATTAACACTGGTTTCTTATACCAACATTCCATCCATCAAAGAATGTAGGCTATAATTGTCCTTTCGCGGTAGGGCATTTCCTGAAGTGCAATCACTATGATGCGAAATATTTGCAAGACGAACCCTGAGCCAGATCGAACCGCGATTACCACTTCTTTCCATGGGCTCACGTGTTATGCACGGCACCGCTGAGACTATCGCTTTGTCTTTATCTCGACCAGTTTTCTATTCGCCTCTTTATCCATTAAACATTCGATTCTCTTAAGAGCTTTCTAAACCTCTTTCTTTGTTATGATTAGTTCTTCGGAAAAGGCGTTCATCTACCTCTCGAGCCCGATACACGTAGCAGGAGCAATCTGGTTTATTCATTTCGTTTAGTACAAATGGCACGAGAAAAGAAATTTGTTCTTTGTGAAGATCTCTTTATGTAATCGAACAAAAAAAATTTTTACAAGCGTTTTCGAAGCAGCAAAGCGAAGGTGGTGTAGATTAGTGTACATTCCAATGTTCTCTTTACGTCCCAGCAGGGTGGCAGTGAATAAGCATATGCAAGAATATGCAGTAAGCGGAATGGGTGATAGTTGGCGTTCCCATGAAGGTTACTGTTTTTAAACAATAGCACGCCATGCTGGCCTTCCATTGAGTAGGGGCCTTGCATTCAGACAGCTAATGTGTGAAGAGCCTAGCCAATGTGTTTATGAGAACTGGCGGAGTGTTCTTTAGGTTTTCAGGACTTATCCTTTCCAGGCCAGTTGTTGTTCGCTTCTTTACCGACGAAACAGCGTGCCGGCTTTGGGAAGGCACAACCAGTGAAAGGACATATACATCGCTCTTTATTTCGCATGAGGGCATAAAGGCGTAAATAATGGAGAAATCCGAGTAGTATTTGCAGATGATTTTCTCCATTCATTTTCCAGAATCTGTAATTCTTATGCCTGGGAATAGGAGTCCAACCATCGTTGCTGACAGAGTGTTGATCTGCTTTTCGAATGCTTTCTCCATCATTTCCGACATCGATTATAACTGTTGCTCTTCCCACTTTAAGATCTTCTTTTATCGTCTGTTTGCACTGTTCTTCAAGTTCTGAAATTAGTTCGCGGTTACCTGTAGCTCGTGCAATTCAACGTTGGCGTATCTGCTTGAGTGTAACCGGAGACAGACGCCCCTTGATGACTTTCAAACTCTTGGATTTCAAAGCACTGACGTGAATAAGTTGAATAAGGCGGTTCTTGTAATTTCGTTTATTGATTTCTGCAGCATCTTCGCTTTCCCAGTGAAGGGGAATCTTTAACGAAAGAGGTGGTGGTGGTTCGACACCGCGCAAAACTTCGAGAAAACAGCGCCGTGGACTATAAGAGATCGTCGATGAATGTGGCGCGTTCTCTTATTGCACTCTAAACTGAAAAATTCTTATGCCCGACATTGAGATCCATATAGTCTTGGTAGTGACGATAAACTCAAACAGCTACATTCTCTGCTATTCTTCCATTCTTATCCGTGAGATATATTCTGACGCTTTTCAAACGCTCTCGTGAATTAAATCTTATCGTCGACATTCCCAATGACGAGCTTAAAGATGTATGAGTGGTAGTTGGGCCAATAGAACCGTCAAAACCAATTGGCGGCCAACTTGAAATAGAATGATCGACTCCGTACGATTTTTCCTTGTGGAACATTTTGATGTGGCACGAAGGAACATTTGGAAGTTAAGTAGTTAAATCATTTATAACAGTAATTTTATAGAAACAAGGATATGACGATATGAAAAAGTGAAAACAATGTAGGTTCCAATACAATGGAATCAACGAGCAAAAATAGACCAGTGAGCAAGAGGTTATACAAAAATATGAAACTGGTTTTTGCAATGAACTGGCGATGCAATATGAGAAAGAAGTTTCACACAGAACACAACTCAACCAAGAAGTCGTAAATAATGCTGAGATATTTGCAAAACACCGGACTGCAGGTGTATGCGGTGGGGAACGAACGCACGCTATTGTCCTTTCCGAGGAGTGGCGCACTTCACCACCACACTATCCGGGTCCTCTGTTTTGCCTGTCTCTCAGCTAGTTCTATTGATCTTTTGCCATCAGCAGTCATCCGTCAACGGGATTGATCTGGGAAGCTCAAATCGGCATTGAACCCAGTTAAGCTGAGGCTTAGTTATAATCACAATCTTAACCCTTTCATTTTCTTTTTCTTGCCTTTTTCTTTTTAATGGCAGGATATGTTGCGAAATATGCATACACTGCATACACCTGCGGTCCGGTGTTTTGCAAATATTTCAGCATTATATACGAGTTATATTTCGCAACATACCCTGCCAATAAAAAGAAAAAGGCAGTAAATAAAAGGGTTGAGATCAACCAAGAAGATTGAGGAGAAAGTGAGGCGCTGAAGCAGGTAAGATCAAATGGTTGGTAGTGAGAGTACGTTATATAACAAACTGTAGAACTAATATAAAATATGCTGTAACAAAAAACAAAGATTAGCTGAGAAATCAGCGATCGGAGCAGAAAAGGCATAACGTACAACTAAGGTTAAGGTTGCATACATTAATGGAGAGCTCGGCACGCGAATTCTACTATGTGAAATGAAAGGGAAAGAAGAGGATGGAGGTTGTTAGAGCACTACTTCGGCGAACTGAAGAATGATCAGTGATTCTGGTGCTTTCATAGACAGTAAACAAAAAGTTAACATTATGAACAGGATTAGAAACATGCGACGCAATCAGGGATCATTCCGCGTTAGCGAGTATGCAGTCTAGAAGACGATATTTCGACTAACCTGAATCACGCAGGAGAAAGAGAGAGAGAACAATCCGAAGATTAAAGAAGCCGTCGTTCACCTAAAATTTCGAAAATCAAGTGGGCCGGGGACGAGTTGCTTTTTGACTACAAGGGAGGAGTGAAGCCTTTAGCGACTGGATTCCTTAGGATGTCAAAGGTAGAGCAAAAGGATCACTGTCCCTTGTCAAAGTTGTTCACAAAGGCCCCACATGAATGACATGTTGATTAGCGACTCTCTAGAGCGAGCGGAACGATATATATTGAAGAGAGCGCCATAGCGAGCCAGGGAGAGGACATAGCGAGAGTCCTGCGATTGTATGAACAAAGACATTATTGTGGTCAGTTTGTGCTCCTCGATTTGCCCCATATCGATGCATTGTTATCTTGGGGGTACGTAACATGTGAGAAATGTCACTACGCAGCCTTTTGCAGTGTTCTAGGGATTATGAGACAAGAAAAAACCCGAAATTGATTTTTGTTTCTTTTCTATGAGGAAGTTTCATACTTATGTAGTTCCATATCCATTGGACAGGTGTAAGTAATTCCAGCTGAACTACCGCTGATGACATTTGCAATATTGGTGAGTTATGAAAGCATTTCGTAAGCCCCTTTGACGCTTCGCCTTGTGGTAGGATATTTGTATTTCTCTACGATTAAGACTTACACTTAGAACATTTGTTACATGGCAGAGTACAAGAGCATATAGTACAGCAATAATGTCGTCAAATTTATTGACTGATTGAGGACCCTAATCCTTGTGTATGTTATTCTACCACCGAAGTTTATTTTAGAACTTTATATGGAATTCTAGGAACCGTTAACTACTTTGTCACAGTGTAAAAAAGAAGTAGAAATACAAGCTCTCAAGAATCCTTCCTGAAAATTCTGGATCCAACAAATTACTCTTCATTTCGGCATTGAGTAGGAGTCTCAAATTAAATCTATGCCTTAGAAACTAAACATTATAAGTGAAGGATCGAAAGTGAAGAGCCAACAGTTTTTTTGAAGGTGATATTTCTGTCTTCTATTCATCAGTTACGATCTGTCGAATCGAGTTTTCAAGCGGTTTTCTCGAGAAATTACTATGTTCTCGTGTTGAACGGCAGATGCCTGCATGAAACAAGTCTTTCTCATAATGAAAATGAAGAAAGAAAGGCAATGTTTTGCACTGAAGCCATCAACTAGCGTTGTAATCTGAGACGTGCCGCCCCTGACACTGGCGACGGCCAATGCAGATGGTTCGACTCGGCATGACTTCTTCATCAACGCTACTCGTTCTTCTACTGCTAGAATTTCATACGGAAGCTGTTGTAGCACGTGAGTTTTTAGGAACCATTACAAAATAAAAAAAGGGAGTAAATTACTTGGATATTTGGATAGCTGTATGGCTCATCCTCACTGGTTGTGCGGGCCCATGTATAATCTCCAATTTTTTCGGAGTTTTGCTGGTTTAAACATTGTGGTTCCCAGGAGTGCCGAGGTTAACCTAAGCAGCGTCTACCCCAGGTCGCCACCACTACAGGCAGTTGCTACCCTTGCGAATCACAGGGAGATTAGCCCCCTACGACTTGTTTGATAGCAGGACGGTGACGGATCCTGGTATTGGTTCACATTTAGCTAGCTTTCTTGATGGAAACGTCAAACTCCTCAGTTTGGGAGACCCTGCCAGGGATGAATCCCACTCTGTACATCGCAGCCCGACACCAATGAACACCTCCCAACCATGATGAGGCAGTAAATCATTGAAAGGAAAGAAAAAATTAGGCAAAGAAATTGGAAAAAATATTAGTAGTAGGTCTTTAACTTATTACTTCCCACCCACTCTTTTTAATTGTAGGGTATATATTTTGGAATATAACTTCAATGATGTTAAGATATTTGCAAAACTCCGGACCGCAGATGTCCGCAGTGGGGAACGAACACGCTATTGTCCTTTCCGGGGAGTAAGGCCTTCACCACCACACCATGCGGGTCCTTCGTTTCGCCGGTCTCTCAGTTAGTTCTATCGAAGTTATATTTCGCAATATATACCTTGCCATTCAAAAATGGGCAGTAAATAATAAATTAAAAATTGTGATTTTAACTACAGACTCAGCTTAACTGGGTTCGTTGCCGATTTGAGCTTCACGGACCAATCCCTCCAACGGGTGATTGCTGATGGCAAAAGATCGATAGAATTAGCTAAGAGACACACGAAACGAAAAATCCGGATGGTGTGGTGGTGAACGCATTACTCCCTGGAAAGGACAACAGCGCGTTCGTTCTCCATCCAAACACCTGTGGTCCGGACTTTTGCAAATATCTCAGCATCTTCGTATTCTTGTTGAGCAAACGCGAGGTGTTCTTTTTATTCTTTATTCACGAATAAGCTGACGTTTCGGCGGGTTTCTCCCTTCTCAGAGCCTAGAAAGGTCAAGTTAACTGCAATCTACACGGCCAAACTCCTCCATAACCAAACAGAAAAAATGCTGAACCAAAATTCCAATCACATTAAACACAGAATCTTTACACACTCACCGCTTTCTATGAGTATTCCACTAAATATGTCTCGCGGAGACCAACCGCACAGAGTTCACATGGAATCGTAATTTCCCCCTCCCATCAGAAAAGCAGTTTTATATACTGCCCTATATCACGCGTGATAATGAGGCATTCTTCCCTGCGGTTCATTTTCGGATTTCTGGAATTAATCCAGAGTGCCTCGAGAGTTTTTCGCGCCTGTGTTCTTGATTCGCGTGCGAGGATCGTGACACATACTTCGAAGTCGTCCCCATTATGTCTCTGGGTCCTATGCGTGCCTAGCGGGGTATTTGGTCTATTTTTGCCGGCTAGGTGTTCTTTCATGCGGACACAGAGGGGTCTACCCGTTTCGCCAATGTATTCGTCACCACACGTCTTGCAGGAGACCAGATAAACTATACCCGAGCTCATTTAATCACCGTCTTTACCATTGGGGCAAATTATGCAATTTTGCGTTGCACATAGACGGTCATACAGGCGGTTAACAACTAGCTGGCGCCTAAGATTACTTGGTGGCATTTCAACCACGTTTACCGAATTCTCTAAAACCGTGCTTCTTAAGCAGCGTTCTATAGCTGTGCTTACATCATTTGAGATGAAGGGTAGGACAAACGGGACCTTTTCATCGCTAGAGTTGTCGTTTGGGTGTCTAGGATTTTCGCTACACGTATCCCGAGCTACAGTTTCGTAGCCATTAAAAATGGTTGTTTGCCCTTCAAGTTCCGGGACTCCCTTCTCTGCTGTCTTCTTGTGCACACGCTGGTAGCTGTTCGAAACATGTTTCTTACAAACACCCTTTTCGTGTGAGAGGAGTGCGAGGAGGGGTAATGAACCAAGATGATTTTGCAACTTGGCTTTCGGTACCACTTCGTAATGTAGCCATTTTCTGACGGGCTAATTTGGACGTTCAAGGATGGAGGCCAGTTTTCTCTCGGTTTCTCTCGGGTAAGCTTGATGCACTCTGGCTGTTCGTTCAACAACTCGAAGCATTTGTCCATTTCCAAATCTGGAAGAATCACAAGCATAAGCAATTAAACAAAATAGTACGGTAATTACTGTACTACAATTGAAAACATGTAAAGTTTAGAGAATACTGCAGAAAACCACAGAAATGAATAGATTGGTGAACCTGATTTCCTCAAGTTCCCGAAAATTGGAATTCCATCCCGCTGGAATAAGAAAATTTGTTGGCAAAAGGTGGCACTTTTGTTAATTGGATTGAATGTTAGCAGAGGCTGCCGATCTGCGACACTACTTGCCTTAGTAACTAATGAAGTTGGAAAGAATAACGTATAAAAAATAAAATTAATAATACTGAATTTGTAACGTTCATAATGAAGTGAGATTTTTTCGCGTTGAACTCATTGCAAATGTAATCAGTAGTAATCAGTTTCTCTCAGGTTTCAATATGCTAACCAGTTTTTTAAAATCAAACTGGGGACTTTGATGAACTAGAGACGAAATTCACTCTCGACTGATCTTCCAGCTTTTTGCTTCAAGGAACAGTTCCGTTTTCCTTAGAGGCTATGTTTTTTCCGAGGTCACATGTTCTTCGCTTTCGCAGCGCAGAAAGCCAGTAGTCGGCTCAGAGCAGTCGATGAAGAACTGTTTCAAATACCCCTGCGATGTTATCAGTTTGATTGACCTGTTTTGCATGTTCACTTTTTTTGCTCCGTGCAAAAAAATGTTTTCGTCATCTCAGGTAGAACTTCGAACACCTGTATGTGTCCGTGCGTTCCTTGTAAGTACCTTCCTTCTGTTTCATTTTTGAATCAGACAAGTAGCGTATTGGTGATGAAACATAACATCACGAGCACGGCTACCTCAATTAAGCGATGCACCAATGAAGAAGATGCTACTCGATACGGCTTCGAAGACACTACATCGGGAACACGGGCAAATGTGGACATCAACTCGGATCATCGACCCTGAGGAAGACAAAGGCGTGGAAACCCTAGACAAATAAGAGTTGTATAACAACCTCCTCTAAGCTGAACAATCCAAACAAATTTATTGATTATTCACGACCAGGTAACACAGAAATCGGTTTAGTTAATTAGCTCTTACAATGTTGTTGTTTTCTCGTTAGAGTAATAATGTAAAAGTAAAAGTAATAGTAACGTTGCAACGAAATTTCTCCGCTGTCTGATATGAGGCTCCATACACGATTCTCAAACTGTGGCGTACCGTAACGAACGTAAAGCCTCCATCTTGCTCAGTTTTGTCTTACTCATTCTTTACCTTCTTCGTCCGTTTGTCCTCGTGGGTGACTTAACCACTGAAGTCTTTGCGGTCTCCTTCTTCCTGAAACACTTTTTTAATGAAGCTTTTCCACAGATGAGAGAACCCGTCAGAATACCATCTGACAGACAGCTTACATCCTAACACATACACAAACGGTTGTATTACATTTGACACTTATATAGTAGCCATAATCACCCTTTACTTTAGATTTCGATTTTCTGGGTTAAAGAGTGTGTTTTTTCTATCCATTTTAATCAGTGAGGAGCATTTTTCCCATGTAAAGTGCATTAGCTAATGCAACACATTTGTGTTACCTTCTTTCTTCCTCTTTTCCTAGAAACCAATCTTTTCAACAAAGATTTTCTACTTCGTTCTGACGCGGTTTTTCAGAATTCTATGGATCACTTGGTGGCTATGCGTGTTCACAACCAGTGCTCTATTACCAGTGCCATTGCCCAACATTTTGCAGGTAAGTCGACATTCCAAGGTCTTTCTACTGTCTTGTTCATGAGAGTTTTTGCTTTTTTTTATACTTAGATGCTTCATTTTCTTAAGGAAATATGCGCTTTCTATTTTGATTTCGTAATGGCATTCGTCAAGACCTCTACCTGTAGGGTCTCTGAACAGCCATACAGGAGCATTTTGCATGTTCCCAATTCGTCTCCAATTTGTGATTTCTGTTGTTGAGGATGACAGCGAATCCTAACAGTGCTTTGCACTTTATTGAGCTTGCCAATGGGAATATTGAACTCACTGTCAGCTCAGAAAATGCTGCCATCCCGGTGAACAGAGCTAAGTTCTCTAGTAGGTGAATGCAAGACATTTACAAGCGTTTTATTTAATCCCAACATTTCTTCATTGGGAAGATCTGTAGATTTGAATGGTCCAACAGCCGAAATCATTCAGCTTCGTAGCGTCCAGATCTATTCTCCACATCATGAAGACATTCCCATCGATGTGAACCGTCACAATGGAATGGACAGAACTTCTAAACGTCATTTAGAAAACATGAAACTTCGGGGTCGTAAAGGAAGTTATCTCAAATCCCAAGCGCTAAAAAATTTGGAAAGTTCATTTTTATGGAAGGAAACTTCGTATTTAGCTATTACGCTAATGAATACGGCGGCTATGGTTACCAACGAGGATCACGATGGCGACCACACAAGCGGCACCGCAAGAAGAAGTTTCGCTTCGAAACGATCGAGGAGGAGGAAACAAGTTAGTAGCTTTAAATAAATCATGCTGCTGATAGTGAGCGAGGGGGCTAGCAATTTCTTCTCCGGTATGGCCACTATATCATTTCACATCATCATCCTTTTTATCCTTTTATCACACCACTTTACTGTTCCTGCTTTCGTCCGTGTTCTGAAAACTTTTAAAGTGTAAATATACGGATTTTAAAAGGCTAATTGAATGGAAAAAATTACAAATAAGGGAATAACTGGACATTTGGTAATTTTTTTTCTGAAAACGAGAACTATGGAGTGTTTGAAGCATAAGGCTTCAGTCAATTATTAAAAAATGTCCGATTACATGCAAAATTCCTTAACTACTTCTTTAACTTGCTCTTATCGGTTTCAGCTGAGTTGCCAGAGCTCCATTTGACAACACAACCGCCAAGAAGTTCAACAGTTTCGTGGGAAGACGAGGTTCAGTTGTGCTAAATAGGTTATAACTTTTGGGTCAGCTACTGGAATTACAATTTACTTACAACGCCCTTTCACAATACTATTTTCTATGATAGTTAAAACATCATTAATACTACCTCTTCAGGAAGAGTGGGAACGAAAATTCGTAACCTCAAAATCAAGACCTAGTCCGACCTCTGAAGAATTTCCAGAAATAGAGAGCGCTGAGGTGAGAAGTAAGAACTACGCAGAAAGCCATTCTTCTCATTATGACGATGAAGCCCGCATTTTTACGCACTTAGAATTGCAGGTCCTGTTTTTTCAAAGGTAAGCGCAAAAACATGTTAACACTGTTAGGATAGAATTCGACCTAATTTGCTTGAACTTCTTGCTGTTTTGTCTGTGCAAATAGTAGAACTCAAGATCGTGCAGAGTTCGAAGTATTTTACCTGCTAGAAAAAAATTTGGGTTCGTTTTTGGGAAACAGCGAAGAGTATGCACTTTGGACACAGATGAGCAACCCATAACTCAAGAACAAACGGGAGGTGTTCCACCAAAAAACACTTTTATGCTCTCTTATGCGAATGAGTCTATGACGATCATCAACGTGTGACTGAGCAGACTCTATGAAGCAAAGACTAGGTCTACAATCATCGGTACACGTTTTTCTTAAGCAACGTCTAGTTATAGAATGAACACGATGGCTTTCTGAGACTTTCTGATGGAAATATAGGCCTATGACGCTATCATTAGAACACTTGGCAAGTGTCAATGAAAGCTGAAATCGATGTTGAAAGTAATATACTGAGTTGGCTGGAAAAGAATGAACTACTTTAGAAAAATATCCTTCCTTATTTAAAATAGCTACTAGGTCTTCAATATACGGAAGAGCTGCGAGACATTCAAGAAGATCTTCGTTCGAGGTACCACAAAAACATTTGATTGCAGAAAAATTTCATGCAAGTGGTTATGAACTACTCGTATTTAAATGGCTACAACACACACGTCATCACTTTACTACTGTTACGTCTCCTACCTCCCCGGTTTGGTGTTTCGTCTCCGTTAGGTGAGATTGAGAGCTCACGGAGTTTTCGATCGACACTGCTCTGTCTGCGACAACGACTGTTTTGACAGCTTATAACATCCAGAAGGAGAACATTCACGAGAGATAGAGGACACGCTCTGCTGTCATCATTCTATTTCCAAGATGCGCACTGATTTCTTCCTCGTGATAATAATGACTCCTGGTGGAATTTCACACCAGCTAACAGTAGTGAACCAAATTACGGAGGTTTGGGTCAACAATCGCTGTTAACGCTTTCGTTATAGAAGAAAAGATTACCCTAACTGTGACCATGGAAGAGAAATATAGCAGACGGCCAAAGGACCGACGGGAAAAGTCTATGCAAAATGGCTTGCTGGTTGCTGTTTTTTGACAGAAATAGCTCAAGTAAGCTCGATTTTATCTGCATAAAAACACAACACTTGAAAAGACGTTGGTTGAATTCGTCATTATCATGAGAATCTCGGCCACAGAAATTCATATCTTCTGCACAGTCTATCTCTTGCTCTAGCAGACTATCATTTTCTTCTTCGAGATCTAAAACAGTCATCTGACGGCAAGCGCTTCATCAGCCCCAACAGCTTCAAGCCCAAGGATACAGTCGTCATGGTTATAAGTAAAAATTGTCCAATGTCCAAGAGCGATGGGCTCAGTTGATCGATCGACGTGACATCTACTCCGCTTATTGAAGAGTAGTGTTAATGAAACAAATATGGCGTACAAAAAATTGGCGAGCTGCAATAAATTCAACGTTCTTTAACTATAGCAAGAGTTTTTTTCAATACAGTTGAAGTTACTTTGCTTTGATTCAGATTACTGGCGCGAAATCTCGCATAAGAGATCGGGAAAAGGTGGTGCAGCAGCCAAGTTCTTTCGGAGAAGGGCCAGAGAATCAAGGTTATTATCATTATTATTTTTGTGGTTTCTGATGCTAATTTCACTTCTTTGTTTTTATACTTAGACAACCCGTATTTACATATGAAGCATGACAACACTTTTTCCATTCATCTATTGACTTTCTAACACGTTAACACGCCCATCTTTTCGGTGGTCTCCTCTCGATGTTGGTTTAACACTCTTGGGATTCACTTTAATATTCTTTTCGTGCAATTTTCGTCATCTCCTTTTATTAGGTGACAATCCTACCGACGTTTGTTCCGTGAAAAGTAAGCTGTTAGATCTCAAAGACTGGAAAGTAAACTAAGAAAGCCGCCTTAGTGTTTTGTACTGTGAATTGCATCCGACTTTTTCGAGTTAAGCAGGCGTCATCTTATGTCTTATTCGGTAGCAAAAAATAGAGAAAACTTCTACATCGAATAATTAGGCAATAAAGTCGGGGTCGGCTATTTACCGGTGCATTTTGGTAGGTTCTTGTAGTAGACCATTCCTCCTGTTCTCTTCTATCGGGTTTTCTCTCAATTCGGGATCTATATTTATTGATAACCTTAAGCACATGTAGTGTTTCTTAACCAGTGGCTCTCGTCTATTCTCCTTTATTTCTCTTCTACATAAATACACTTCAAAAATAGATTCCGCTCTGCCTGATTTCTGTTTCTTTGAGCCCATACAAAAAGTACGTAACTTTATCGACGAATACTGACGAGGATTCATCCAGCACACTCACCGTTTTGTCGTCCACATGTGCTTACACTATTCACCATAGTATTCTCTCATTGAAAAGCTTTTGTGATATTACATCACTTTGCCTTCCTTCTTTAACAACTAAACGACGGAGTAATTATTGAAAACTTGCATTGCCCAAGCGTTTTATGTAGGATGTTTTGCTATAAAATAGTTGGCCTTAAGTTGGTAGGACGATCTTTTTCTCACCGTCGACTGTCAGCGAAGAGTCTGTGATCATTTCACGACCAAGAGAGACGTAACTGGAGCATTTGGAGATACTCATTCCGTTAGGCGCGAATGGAGCATACGTAACCAAGCCGTTCCTCATGAACATTGCTATTGTGACATTTATTTAGAAAGCAATCTTTCCACAGGCCTTATCAAAGTCAACAAGCATTCGTTTCGCTTGATTAATGCTTAGTGTTAAAAGGACCATGTCATCAGTAAAACAGAGATGGTGTCGAGTCTTGCTATCGTGTGGATGCAGTCTTCCGGCTGAATCCTTTTCGAAGCCCTGCTTGCTCACATTGCTGCCTTTCGTGCAGTTTTTGCAAGCAGATTGGGCGATAATTGCCTTCCACTGAGTAGGGACCTTGCATTCAGACAGGTAACGTGTGAAGAGCCGAGCCAGTGTGTTTATGAGGACTGGCGGAAGATTCCCCAGGTATTTAGGTCTTATTCTGTCCGGACCAGGTGTTGTCCGACTGTTTACCGACGAAATAGCCCGTCGAATTTCGGAAGCGAGAAAAGATGGTACGACACACTCATCCTCCTTCTCTTGCCTCATATGACGGAAGGTGGACGTGGCTATCGAAGGGACCCGAGTAGTATTCGTGTATGATTTTCTCCATTGCCTTTCTGGACGCTGTAACTGTTCCGCTGGGCATAGGAGTGCAATCATCTTGGTCTTGTAATTATCGAAGCTTCGGTGTGCTTTGCAAATGCTTTTTCCAGCCTCGGCAGCTTCGACCATTACTCCTGTGACGTTCTTGAGTGGTCCAATCTCGGCCTTAAGTTCTCCAATAATGACCTTAAAGAATGCGTGGCATTCTACGTAGTCCTTCTCCAAGTTCACACAGAACGCTCTTCGTCTTCTTCATGACTTGATGTTGCCGCGTAAAAGACGAAGAATGTTAGAGCGGGTATATATCCACGTCTCTTCAGTTGTAGACAGACTTGTAGGCCATTAGGATTCTTAGTTGTTCGAATGAATCGATGTTCATGGCCAAACTCGTAATGACGAGGATTCTTATGCCACCGAGTCCTCTACTGTCGCACGTTCCGAGAAACAGTTCTTTTGCGGGCTCACAGACGGCTTTAAATGGGCAGCACCGTCTCGTCTCGGCCAGTCCGATGACGTCGCAACTTACGCTTCTTTCTTCCAGATCAAGTCATCCATCGAGGACTCAGATGCAAGTGCGCGCATTGTAGGTACAGACCTTAGTTCTTTGCGATCTATACAGCTTAGATTGGCCCTAAAGTTTTAGCAGCTTCTCCGTACTCGTCCTACCCAGCACTGCCATTTCGGAGGCTCTTTTGGGGTCAGGTAGATGAGGCCCTTGTATCTCACCGTGCTTAGGTTTTCCATACTTACATATAATTTGTTGAGCTCTACTCACGGTTTTCCCTTAGAGTGTTCGAGAAGCTTATTTGTTGGAGACGCCTACTAATGCATTCCACATACTTCACTCTTACTTGATTGGAGGCTTGTGACCGAATTGACTCGTAGAATACCATCTGCATAAGAGAGAAGGCACGCATGCATGAATACGTCCTCCTAAACACAGGATGTAAATGTCGAAACGGTGCAGTTGAAAAACTGAGTCTACCTCCTGGATCCACGTGCGTCTCAGGGAAGGAAAGGTCGCTTTTAGTCTCCGATGAACCCCTCATTAGCTACCAGAGAGAGCGCCACGTTGCCTGGCTAGGGATCTCTCTATGAGGGAGACATGCGGATGGACAATAATAGCAACTATTATTGTTGCCATCATTACGACTCTTGCTACTTTTGCTGCATTGCAAGGCTACAAGTTTGTTGAAATTTATTTTCTACTTAATTTGCAAATGCTATCATGTCTACTCGCATTGTGACTGGTTGCTTATCGTTTTATAAAAATCTCCTGCTTCCAACGACATATCAAACCCGGGTTTTGCTTTGCCTTCCAATATTTCGCCTAATTTTGCAATTAATTTTAATTCCGTTTTCTGTGATTGTATAAAACATTTAGGTACCGGCGGCGTCGGAGTAGGAAGCGGGATTGGTGTTGGGGGGATTGGTGTGAGTTCAGGGCTCAACGTTGGCGCTCCTGGCATTGGAGGTCTAGGTAATTGATTTCTTTGCTTTGCTTGAAACCTTGTTTAATGTACTTGAAATGAAATCATGCCTGAAAAACTGTCAGATAACGATTTTCAAATATTCTGGGTGACGAAATTATGCAATCATATCAAATCTTTATGGAAATGAGGGTTTTGAGGATGAAGGAATGAAAAGAAACTAGAATAAAAGAGGTATTTAAGTTCCTCGAATTTTTATTCCTACTGAAGAATAAGTTGCCTAAAATTCCGCCTTCAACTGTGAAATGAATGGCCACGTTAAGCGTGTTTTTGTCTTTCAGCTTCATCTTTCTTAACCTTGGTTTTTTTGAGGAGTTCTCCTTGTAGAAAGTTTTTTCGATACTTAATAGTCAAAATAAAAAATTCACCCAGGTAGTTTAGCAGCTTGCCATTGGCGACGAGGTGTTCCAGGATGTAGAACCGACCGTCATTTAATCTTAGCATTAATAATCAACACCCTCCTTGATTAATAAACTTATTAATCCAAGAAAGTGTTTAAAAAGGCTTTCATTTCTAAGCAGTGTCATTTAAGACGAGGGGCTCAAAATTCAAGTTTCATAGTTTCTACACTTCTTTGCTTTTTTGGAAACAACATTACACTAGGGTTCATCGCTACTCGAGAGAAAAAACTAGCTCCAAGGAATTCAGATATCCTTTCAATACATAAGTGATGTGAAAGCCTGTAATAACGACTGAAGCGTCTTGGAGCTTTTCGAGGCCCCATCAAAGGAAATCGGTCCACGCAGTAATATACTATTAAATTCGAGGTCTTTATTGAAGACCGTGCATTCACTAAAGAAGATGATCTTGCAAGTAGATGAGTAGAATAGTGGAGTGAATCTCTTCGGCCAGAAATTTCGTATTTCTACTCTGCCGTTGATAACTGCAGATGAAGTTCTGCCTGGTTGGGAAAATGGAGTGTAGAAAGAAAAGGAACCAAGAGAGAACAAATCAACTGCTAGCAGCTACCAATTTGATAAATGACTTCTATTTCTAACTCCCGTTCACATCTATTTTTGCAGAGCCCTGCTGTTTTTCATGCCCTATTCAATTTCATATCGATCTCCGAAAGCTAATTTGAGAATGAAGAAGAAAGGATTTGTTGCAAATCGTACCGTGAAGTCCGATCGATATTTTAAATAAGCTGGACAAAACAATATTTCAAACGATGTAGAGTCTACTGGAAAAAGTTACATTAATTTAAAAATCGATCAGCAGACAACGCTTGTCATATGGGAAATGAAGGCCTTGGAAAAAAAAACTTCAGGCAATGGAGGCATCTTCGGCATCTCGTCTGGCCTCGGCGTCGGAGTGCCTGGTGTGGGTCCAATCGGCGTCTCCAGCGGCATTGGTGTAGGCCGATAGCGGAAATATTTTTCATGTGCTTTATTTTGTGCATAAAAATGTTTTCTTCATTGTGTTTCCTTCCTGATGTCGGATCCGCTAATAAGTTTTTACTAACTTTTGAATGAACGTTTTTTCCACATTTTCCAAGTGGAACGGAGACCGATGACATTCGCCGTTGCTAATCGCATGCCTAATTTTATCTAACGTAATTTGACCTAAAGCCTTTTAATTTCTCGTTTTTTCCAAAATGGTTGAAAAACCTTGTTTTGTCATTGCTGGCTGTATTTCATTCGCCAACTTGAATTTTCGACTAATGTGCATCTTCATGATCATAATAGGATTATATTTCAAAATAAAATATGCTCTAGTCACTCACCAAGTCGTTTTTTTCTTGCCTCGTGAAAGACTCAGAATCCTAACGCGAGAACCGCATTAAGCCTTTTACCTTTTTGTACTGAACTAAGCTTTTGCGGAGTTGTGTTTTGTGATGTCTTCTCCTGCTACTTTCGAAGTGGACGCATTCTAAAAGAAGACACGCTTGCGTGGCAACTTTGGCGGCTTTCATGATCTCCAAATAAAGAAACTAGTTCCCAGGATCGACTTTCTATTAACCTCGGCATTGGAATATGAATGCGTCGTTTTCTTGTTCAGCAATCGCGAGGTTTTTAAACAGCATACATTTATTTCCATAGAATAACACAATACAATACAACGCTAGCTGACGTTTCGGCAGTATCGCCTTCTTCAGAGCTTGGAAGGGCATGCTGATATACAATCTGCTAGGCCAAACGCTTCAATAACACTTACAAAAAGACGAGGAACTTTTCGGTATGCTGATATACAATCTACTAGGCCAAACGCTTCAATGACACTTACAAAAAGACGAAGAACTCTCCGGTAATTACATGACACTTTCGATCGAAAAACCCACCGCTTTTTCGTGACTTCCAATGAGGAAGTTAACAGCTGATTATAGTCGCATGTGGTTGACGACCTTTGCGCCATCCCACATCAAAAATCGATGCGAACGTACGGGATCAGATCGCGTATGACCTCCGGGCATTCGTCCCTGCTATTCATTGTAGGGTTTTTGGCATTGATCCAAAAAGCCTCTAGGAGTTTTCGCGCTGGTGTTTTGGACTCCTGTGCAAGGATATTGACTTTCACTTCAAAATCGTCTCCACTATGCTTTTGTATCCTGTGAGTGTCTAGTGGAGTACTTTGTCTTAGTTTTCGTTTGCCATCTAGGTGTTCTTTTATACGGATACACAAAGCTCTGACCGTTTCGCTAATGTATTCATCTCCGCAATTATTACAAGAGATCAGATATATCGTACCTGAACTCATGCAATCACCGTCCCTGCAGTAAGGGCAAATTAAGCAATTTGTTGTTTAACAACCTCGCGATTGCTGAACAAGAAAACGACGCAAAGAAACTAGTAATAAAAGTATTTCGTTGTGAAATTCTACAGAGGAAATGTTAACCTTTTTCTTATTTACCCATTACAATTTTCACGGCAGGGTACTGTGCAGCCTCAACAAAAATGGTTTCAATTATGATTTGGGCTTCCCAGATGAATCCCGCTGACGTCTGATTACTGATGGCACTGGTAGATAGAAAACTAGCTAAAAGAATGACGCGCATGGTGTGGTGGTGAACACGTTAGCCTCAGAAAGGTAGTAGTTCGATCCCCACCGCAGATATACTTAGTCCGGAGTTTTGCGAATATCTCAGCATTATTGTGGTTGATTTCTACAAAGAGATTTTATTCGAGGACTAGCTGGTTTTTTTTTGTTACTGAATATTGAGCAGCATTTATGGTTTTCAGTGAAAATTAGTGAAATTCACTTTGTCATTTCGTTGCGAGTTCATAGCTATGAATATGTTTCAGAATTCATTTCTCATTTTGCAGTCTCGAATACGCTTCTGAACAGGAAGGTATCTAGTGGAATGCGAAAACGACGACACAATTTATCACTCTTACCAATGCAAGTGTTCGGGAAATTTCTGTTTTCATGCAAACCACTTAGAACATTCTGGGTCATTGTTCCGTTGACGGATTCCCTCATCAAGCACATGTTCGGTCTCACTTTCAAATCCACTTACTTTCACTCAGCGTGTTCATCTGTTGGTGACGACGAGGATAACTCGTCCGCCTCTCGTTTTCGTAGATGGTAAGGTATTTTATATTGTTCTTGTGCGTTTTGCAGTTGCAATAGTGAAGAGTGCATAAAGGAATGGCTGCCTTCAGCAATCATGTAATTTCTGTTTAAGTAAGTGAACAGAATTTAAAGTGTTTGAATAGCTATATTGTCGATTCAAAGAAAAGCAATAGCATATTGAACTACATCACTTCCCAAGTCTTAGGTCGTTGTGAAAGTTTCGCATTATTTTTCGAATGGGTTCTCCAGCTTCTAAGCGTTTGTGGAAAATTACTTCGGATAAACCTGAAGCATTTCAAACCTTTAATCTTATTCAGAAATTTCACATTCCCACTACTAAAATACTGCTCTTTATTGCTCTTAATAGAAATCCGCTTCCAGATGATCGGTACTCTCGTTGCTGGCATTTTTCACCTTTTGCTCTTGGAAACCGACAGCTGCGTGCCAACGGCAACGGTGACCACACCTGGTGAGTTGTAGTATGCAAAATTTTCTCTAATAAAAATTAAAAGTTCTTTTTCTGAACAATACCTTTATGCCACAGAATGCTTTACTCATTTTAATCGTTACTTCATCAGCTATCATTCTCTTGCGATTCATGATTTGTTAATTTTTAAAATAGTGGATATGGAAAAATAGCTGTGCTCGGATTTTTTTTTTAGGAAAAGGCTGAAAGGAAATCGTACCATGTAACGAATCTAGCCTAAAGTGAAATCTTATCGCCCTACAAAAAAGGAAGATAATCTAGCAGTGTTAACGACAAGCTCTTCAGTCTGCGCGTAAATTTTAACACAGGAGAAGAAGTCCTTCACCACACTTTATCAACTACGGTAAGGGACGCGTGTGGTGTAGTGGTCGGAGGCGATACACACGTGGAATCGATCTCCGCACCAATGAACCACCAAGCCTTCAATCTCCCAGGGCAGGCAAATTGGAGCCAGACTTGTCTAGGAGGATAGGACCACTGGCTCGATAGATCGGCAGGCCACCACTAGTCATTGTATAGGCCATATGTGCATTCAATGACCTCCAACGAAGCTTAATGAAGTCGAAAGCATGGCGCATCCCTCAGGGATTGATCATCGCCGAGAGCTTAATGCTTTGTTTTTAGCTTTATGGTACGGGAAAATAAAAAAGGAAGAAATTTTTAAGAAACTTGTCTTTAAAAAAACCCGAAGGGATGAAATATGTAAATCCTGTACATTTTGCGCATATCGTTGAAGCCACCTCAACGCTACTTTATCTGAAACAGATACAGTAGAAAATGGAGCTTTTGATCCAGCATTATTGAGCATCAGCATGTTCTTCTACAATTAACCACTAAGTCTGTATCACCTGTAACACCTTTAATCCCGTTGATCGACGAGTAACTCGAGCAGCGCCAGTAAATCTTCCATTTTTCCTTGTCGCATTCAAGAGTAGCCCAATGGGTTCTGTATCTTCAAGGCTCTTTGTGAAAAACTTTGACCATCGGATCGCTGGCCTTCCTGCAGTACGTTTGACATCCTGAGGTGAGGAATCCAGTCACTAACGGCTCTCGTCCATTGGTTGTCAATCATACCCATTACGTGTCCGGCCCAACTTATCTTCGACTTTTGGCGTACAGAACGGCATCTTCGATTTTTCATCGTTGACGCAGATCGGAGCTTCGGATCCCATCCCTTACTTGTGAGGAACGGAATACTCCTAGCATCGTCCTTTCGACTGCGCGTTCGATAACGCTGAATGACCTTTCATCTTGCTTACGCAGCGACCAGGTTTCTGACCGATACGCTAGGGCGGGAGGTACCGTTGAGTCGAAAAGGTGGACGCGGAGTAGGGTGTTCTTTGTTCTCTTCACTACTTCCTCGATGCTCTTGAAAGCTCCCCAAACCCCTCTTTTCCTTCTGCTCAGCTCAGGAGCTAAGTCGTTCATTATATTGATTTTCCGACCTATATAGATGTAACTGGAGCATTCGGAGATATTCATCCCATTGAGCGTGAATGGGGCATGCGAAACCAATCCGCTCTTCATGAACATCGTTTTTGTGAGATTTAGTCGAAGACCAATCTTTCCACAGGCTTTATCAAAATCGTCAAGCATACGTTCCGCTGGGCTAATGTTTGATGTTATAAGGGCGATGTTATCAGTAAAGCGAAGATGATGTAACTACCGATCTTCGATTTTCACTCATGCATCATCCCATTCCAATATTCGCATGGCGTTTTGGAGGGTGGAGCTAAACAATTTTGGAGAGATGGTATCGCCTTGCCTAACTCCTGTTTTGGCGTCAATGTTAATATCGTTGTAGAATGGTGACACCTTGGTTGTGAAATTTTTGTACAGCTCACGAAGGATTTCTATGTACTGAGTAGGGACTCCTTGACTATCAAGGACTTCCATGACTGTTTTTATCTCAACTGAATCAAAGGCCTTCTGTAAATCGATGGAAGTGAGACAGAGCCGCCGTCTTTTGTACTCACGCGATACTTCAATAAGCCTTGTTACCGTGTGGATGTGGTCCATCGTACTAAATTCTTTTCGAAACCTCGCTTGCTCACATGGCTGTTCTTCGTCTAGTGTTCTGTCAATCCCGTTTAGGATGACTCGAGTGAAAAGTTTGTACACGGCAGATAGTGAGCAGACTGGGCGATACTTGCCGACTTCGTGTAGGTCACCCTTCTCGAACAGTAACACGGTTCTGCTGGTGTTCCGCTGAGTAGGGACCTTGCATTCATGAAGGTAACGTGTAAAGAGCCGAGCCAGTGTGTTTACAAGGACTGGCGAAAAGTTCTTCAGATGTTCTGGTCTTATCCTCTCCGGACCAGGTGCCGTTCGATTTTTTACCGACGAAATGGCATGTTGGATTTCGGAAGGGAGAACCGGTGATACAACATATCCGTACTCCTTTATTTCATATGACGGAAGGTGAACGTGGCTATCGAAGAGATCCCTGCAGTATTCGTGAATGATTTTCTCTTTTGCTTTTCTGGACGCTGTAACTGTTTCGCTGGGCATAGGAGTGCAATCATCTTGGTTTTGTAATTGGCGAAGCTTCGGCGGGCTTTGCAAATGCTATTCCCAGCCTCTGCATCTTCGACCACTACTGCGGCTCTTTTCTCTTTAAGATCTTCTTTTACCGCTTGTCCGCATTGTTTTGCAAGTTCGGACGTTAGTTCGCGGTTGCCTGCAGCTCGTGCGATTCCACGCTGGCGTATCAGCTCGAGTGTTTCTGGAGACAAACGTCTCTTGGTGACTTTCGAACTCTCAACTTTCATAGCGCTAACGTGAAGATGCTGAGTGAGCCGATCGTATTCTTCGTCGATGTTATCGACAACGGCATCTTCCCAACAGCGACTAATGAAGTAAATAAGTTTATAGTGGTTTTGGAACTTCGGTTTTTGAATTTAGCGGCTTTTTCTCCTTTCTGAGAAAAATAGAACCTTGAACGATGGAGACGATGGTCTGATCCCATGTAGAATTTTGGGGCAGCAGCGATATTGGTTAGGCAAAATCTTCTATTTACTATGATGCGGTTAATTTCGCTGTGGTACTCTCCATTGGAAGACTTTCACATCCAGCGTTGTGGGTGGAGCTTCTGGAATTTCAACTTACCATGGATGGTCTTGGTCAGCATGATTAACTCAGATATCTGCTTACCCTGTTCGTTCCATTCTAATCCGTGGGTTCCAATGTGACGTCCTTCAGACCTTCTTCTTGGTGCAATCCTGGCGTTTAAATCTCTAATGACGACATTGAAGAATGCATGTTCTTCACCGTAAAACTTTTCCAAGTCCATGTAGAACGCTTCGACTTCTCCTTCGTCATAGTTTGATATCGGCGAGTAAACGACGAAGATTGTCAAAGCCGGAATTGATCCACATCTTTTTAATCGTAAACGTCCTATTCGGGTTGTAAGATGTTCGAATGAATCGAGCGACTTCTCTAATGTCGCATGTTCCGAGGAACAGTTCTTCTACCCTCTCATAGACGGCGTTGAAAGGCCGGCGTCTTCTCGTCTCGGCCAGGCCGATGACCTCGTACTTTATCCTTCTTGCTTGCGTAGGCAAGTCTTCTATCGAAGACTCGGATGCAAGTGTGCGTGTATTGTAGGTACAGATCATCACCATAGTGCTTTGAAATCCAGGCAGCTTCGATTAGTCCTGAGATTTTAGCGGTCCCTCCGTACTCGTGCTACTCAACGCTGCGAAATTGGGGCTCTTTCGGGGTCAGAGGAATAAGGCCCGTTTTCTTTTACTGTGCTTATCATTTTTGATACCTACGTATAGCTTGCTGAGTTCTGAACGTGGAGGCTGGGTGTACTCACGGGTATCTTGCCAGGATCTCTCAGAGTATACATAGAGCTTATTTGTTGGAGGCGACTCCTAACCTCCTCTATAATTCCTTGTCACTTGATTGAAGGCTTTTGGTCAAATCGACTCGTAGAATACAATCCGCGTAAGCAAGAACGCACCCACACACCCGTGCATGAATACTCCTGGCAGATACAGAAAATCGTGCCGAATCAGCTTAGCAGAAAGAGGAAATTCATTTCCTGGATTCACCTGCGTCTCAGAGAAGCAAAAGTCGCTTTTGCCACAAAAGGAGTGCAGACAAGAGTGTTTCTTTAGTAGTAAATAAATATTTGATAATTACAGTTTGCTGTCCTCTCTTGTCTCAGTTGACGCTTCCGAGACGTGCGCCGTCTTCCACGAACTTCCAGCAGTGTTCTATCCTTCGAAGGGTCAGCTCCACCTGTCCCGTTGACGGATTCATCTTTTGCGATGCGGCTCCTGATACGAATGTAAACCAATACTTTAGCCCTCTGCACCATAATCATTATCGATCGTTTAGAGCACTTAACTTCAGTGAGAACACCACAGCAAAATGTGGTGTCCTCATCGAAGTAAAAGTATTTAAAATGTAGCTTTTTCAATGAAATCCCTACCTTTGCTTTAGCTTTTGTTTCCCACATTTTTTTCGTTTTTTTCGTTCTTTACTGAAAACCTCTTTCCAGCCGACTACTATGCAAATTGAGTTCTTCAACACCACTAATGTTCTAGTACGAACCATCCAACGTACTGGAACCACTTTGAGCGCTCAGGTAAGTCTATTTTCAATTCACTAGCAATTTTGTAGAACAATTGATCAAAAGTTGTTAGATGAAGAATTTACTCAGAATATCCTGTGAATTAGCGGCTTAGAAAGAGAAGCCAAACTAAAGTTCCAATTAGAAGCTTTTAAAAACTCGCTTGGGTTTCCTATTTAGGTGTAAGGTGTATGTCTAATAATGGTTGTTACGTAAATCATCATTAATATTTAATAGATTTCTAGTTTCTAACAGACACTGTGGGTTTTGAGCGGTAGTAAGAAATCAACATTACTGTGAAACTCACCATAGACGAATGGTGACAAACAAATAAGACTTAATATTATCTCCATAAATGGTTCCATAAAACCGTTGCAAATCGAACAAATCAGGATCCGTTGAGGCAAAATTCCAAACCTGAGATGAAGAAGTAAGGCTTTAGTTTAAGAAAACTTTAGGAGAAAGTGAAAATCAGAATGAAAAAAATGTAAGAGGATCTCATTCTAAAAACTTGCTCTTCACGAATTGGGATGTATTGCCTTTCTTCCAGGTCTTCTGCTTAAATGGTGTTTGGGTGGCTCGAACGGCACCGAACGCCATTACGAATGTGACGATCTCCCAGGTTTGTAACTAGTTCTTCCAAAAGGAACATTTTTAAAGCGACATGCTCAGTAGCTTTGACTTATTTGAGATGAGCACTGTTCCCCTATAATAATGAAGGCTTTCATTTGCCCTCTACTGGTTCTCATTAATGTAAGCAGGTCCTCCTAAACTTCTTCATCAATTTCGCATTTCAAAGCGTGTAGCCATAAAAGGTTTGTTATATCCTATTTATTCATATGACGCTTTTCCAAATGTCGCCCGGATTTCGGCATTTCTTTCAATTCATTGTATCCTATCCGCAATACACGAAGCTGTCCAGATTTTAGGATTGAGTTCAGCTGCAACATAAAAATTTCGTCTTCTTTGTGAGTGCCACTAAATGTAGATCAGCGCTATTATCCTTGAAATTCCAGGATAGCCCCGCTAGAGGTCTACTGGCCTTCATATAGCAATCGCAGACTTTCACCTGGATAGGTCCGTTCTCAATTTATAGACTACGAAAAAATGAAGGCCCAGGGTGTGGTTAAACCGTCGGCCATGGGCGCATTGCAGTGCACCTGCATTATTCACTGCTCTACGAGCGTCTATAGAAAGTGGTAATTTCTTCGCATATATATGTATGTATGTGTAACAAGTATATATGTATATATATATATAACGATGAGTTTGTTCTGTGGTGGTTTTAGCGACGGTTATATATTTATATATATATTTACTAATCCCAAATATAGAGGTAGGTAGCGCACTGGCAGTGAAACCGTTCATCGCCGTGGCAGCAATGGTACGACCCCATTTCTAGCTCATTAAATCTCAAAATGGGACAGTTGGTACCAGACTTGTCTGTAATAAGGTCACTTTCTGCAATCCAATTGGGAAGACTCTAGGCTAGCTATTTCAGGAGTCAAGGGAGAATTGACTTGACCAGCATTTAACAATATTCATGGCAAAAGGTAAATCCTCAAAAGGAGCCAAAGCTACACATGGAAGTTGAAAGTCTCCCGAGGATAATTAATGGGCACGAAGTAGTCGAACGCGAGAAGTGCTGGGATCTGCGCTGTAGATATGGAAATGGGTGGGGTATAAATGAAAAGGTTTAAAATATATGGATGCAACCACAATGATGCTCAGATAGTTGCAAAACTCTATACCGTAGCTGTTTGCGGTGAGGAATGAACGCGCTATTACCCTTTCCGGGACTAACGTGTTCACCACCACACCATGCAGGTCCTTCGTTTCGCCTGTCTCTCAGCTGATTCTATCGATCAGCGCCATCAGAAATCACCCGCCAACAGGATTGATCTAGGGAATGAAAATCGGCAACGTATCCAGTTAAGCTGAGCCTGTAGTCGAAATCACAATGTTAACTTTTTATTTACTGCCTATTATAATTTTTCATGGCAGAGTATTACGTGTGATGCAACCGCAATGATTTTCTTACCAATTTGGGTTCCTTAGATCAATCATGTTGCTGGGTGATTGCTAATTGCGCTCTTCGATAGAACTAGCTGATAGACAGACGAAACTAAAAACCCGCCTGGTGTGGCGGTGAACGCGTTAGCCTCCGGAAAGGCTAATATCGCGTTCGTTTCCTACCGCAGACACCTGCGCTCCGGAGTTTTGCAAATATCTCAGCACCATTGTGGTTGTATCATATGTAATACCCTGTCATGTAAAATTGTAGCATGCACTAGATAAAAAATCAGCACTATACGGATATTGTCCTCATTTATCGATCAATTATTTTTAAACTAATTTGAACTCAGTTCTAAAGATAAAATCTCGGGAATTGTCTCACTTGTCATTGCTATATTTGCGTTATCATTCACTTGAATATGTAGACAGCTTCAAGAGAAACCATTAAGGTGCCCAAAGGATTTTTAGTTGATCCATATATTACTGGCAAAGCAGGTTCCTATTTCTGAAATCCTGCTAGAGTTTAAATTCATCACACGTGGTGTACTCCTATGAATCGCAAAGGATTTGTTGTCTTCCGACTAATGTCCACAGCTTCTGCCCTTTGTATACGTTAGCTGTCTTTCCAGACGAAAATGGTGAACTCCTTTTTACTTCATTCGTTTCTACTCTGCGAGTTTTGCAGTGTTAGTAGTAAGAAAGTTTTCTCGGCATCTTCTCAGTATTCGTTAATGGATGTGGGAATCCTGCCTAAAAAATACTTCGTCAAAACTTCATTGTATTAACCCGTTCAGCTAATAGTGTAAAGACAGTATAGTTGCTTGAAACTATGCTTCAGTGTTTTCGAGTCATTAAGATGGTATGAAATAAAGGAAAATGAAGTTTGTAGCTGAGAGAAACGCAGCGCGAGGGCTTCAGTGGTGCAGTGTGTAATAGGCGAGCCTCTGGCAAGAGTAACCGTGGTTCGATGTGGCTAGAAGTCCAAGTCTTGCCAGTATGTCAGCATCGTTGCGGTTGTATTTCACATCATGCCCTACAGTAAAAAATTATACTAGGCAACAAGTAAAAGGTTAACACAGTGCATTGTTTGTGTTTTTGGGCAATTTTGCTTTATTTTTATTTTATTTGACTCGTCTTCACGTCTACTATGTTGATTCCAGCACTTCTCACATTTAATTCGTTTTCTCGCATCCATTGTTCACGAAGATTTTCCAACTTTACGTGGCTTCCCTCGGTGCATGAGGACTTTCGTTCTATTTTAAATGTCGAATGCTCATCGAGCAGTTCTCACCGGTGTCCTGGGTTAGTGGGGCTAAGCGTTCGCAGTTCGATTGCAGCGAATGTTTTTTCCCAGACAAGTCCGGTACCAATTTCCTGATCTCGGAGGAATGAGAACCTTGGTTGGCCGGAAGCGGAATGGGACTAGCACCATGCTTGTAACGACGGGCATCACTACCACTGTGCAATCCGCCTCTGTCTCTGGACAAAAGGATAGGAATTTTGAATTTTCTTTCCAACAGCGATTCACACGATAGACTTTCTGTTACAGTGATCAACTTGCTGATTTCTTGATAAGCACACATAGTTGTTACTTTAATCTCTATTCACAGAAAAAGCTGAAGTTTTAGCGGATTTCGTCTTCTCCAGAGTCTGGAAATGTCAAGTTGACTGCAATCCGCTCAGCCAAACAGCTCAATAACCCCGTTTGTTAAACAACAAGACCCTAACAATAAAGCTGATAACAAATTTCGATTATTTGTGGACAAAATTTGAAGAGTTCTTTATCATTATCGCGCGAAGAATTTTCACTCCAATCTCACAGAAGGGCGAAAATGTGGTATGCGGAAGGTACGAGAGCTGATAAGGTTGGAAAACATAAGGCAATCGGTTAGTGGCAAAGGTTTCCTTGCAAAGCTAAAGCTTGCAGTAATTTCTTATCAGTTGGATGTTGATATCGATAAAAAGCATCCTCAAGATGCTCCCCATTATCGTCTATCATCTGCGAAGGAATTTAAAAGTCAACACTGAAAAACGAACAGCGAATGGATGGAAATGGCAAAAACGGCCAGTTTAAAACAATCATTTATTCTTTAACTCAAAGTGGAATTACCAATACGTACCGTTTTACACTTACTTATCGAGTCATATGTTGAAATCTCAATGCTTGACTTTTTATCTACTGCCTAATATTTTTTTAAAGGAGGATATTATCTTAAAGGCAGCCAAAATAATGCTGAAATATTTGGAAAACTCAGCCTCCACGCCAGATCTAAACACTCAGTTCCCTTTCCGGGGGTTCACGTGTTACATGCCGCACCAACATTGCCTTTACATTGCCTTCCTCTTAGCTAGGTTTTTTTACCCTAACGGTGCCATCAGCAATCACCCATCAAGAGTAATCGCGGGCTCGAATACTACCTAGGATTGGAGCGAGCTTTGCAAATATCTCAGCATCATTTCTGTTGTATTTCACTCATAGGCTAGTACCCACTGCATATCATGCGTCTACTGATCAATCTTTGTTTAAGGTTAAGCCCATCATTAGTTATGTAGACGGACCACCGAAGAGAATAACGTGGCTTTTATTCCTAGGACCTAGCCAGTTGTTTAAACACATTCAAAACCATCTTACGAACACGAATATGTTCCCGGATACCCACGTAAAGAACGAGCTCACAGCACGTACGTGATAGTCTTTCATTGTTACCGCCCTTTATACGAAAGTTTCGAATTACTCCGCTATAAAGTCATCCTCGAACTATTTATACAAGACAAACAAACATGTTTTTTCGATCTAGCAGCTGATGCTGCTGAGCAGAGGCAGTCCTCTTGAGGGAGTATCTATACTGCTCAATCTTCAGATGGTCCGGAGAATACGGGGCACAAGTGAGAGGGTTGGCAATGCGACAGCGACTGGCATCGAGCCTTATCATTGCCTTTATGTTCAGGATGGAAGTAGCAGTTACCGATCTCCAGCCATTACTCTACTGGAGATATGTAGATGATTGCCCTGCCAACTGCTCCACACAAAAAAAAAGATCGGCAAACATATTCTGTTAATAAACGAACAGTAGGAATACTTAATGTTCACCTGAGAGAACCCGAATGAAAGTTGGCTTCGATTTCTAAACTTTCTAATTAACGTATCCGAAAACAACCATATTACTAAGTGGTAGCGAAAGCCAAGTAACAAAATCATGTTACACCATTACCATTCCTATCACTCTTCGGGCTCCAAATCGTGCATGTAGAAAATATTTTTTTCCAGCAGCCACTGGCGTGGTCACAGGAAAAGAGCGGAAGGAGGAATTCTAGAAACTGGCGCGGCGAATAGCCATTTCCAAATGGTAACGAAGCTGGGGCGCCTCATCAGGAAAAGCTCTTCATTTTTTTTTGAAATAAGTGTAGCCATAAAACGCTGCTTAAAAAGAGCCGATCTAGAGAATTCTGAATCAGTGCAAAAATGCATAATATGCCTTGACGATAGAGGTAGCATTTGCATAAATTCGGGTATGGTGTACCTAATGTTCTGTAAGGGAAAATACTTGGGAAAAGCGGGTAGACCATTGTGCATTGGTATAGAAGAACATCTGTTCGGTAAAGTTGAAACAAATTCAC